GCTCTTGGTCCATCAAACCACATTAGTGTAGAATTGATCCACAGGTTCTCATCTTCTGTGAAAACAAAAGAAGAACCTCTTTTCCAAAGTAACATATCCTTATACCCATATTTTGAAAGCAAGATACCATTAAAATATATATGTTGGTTTAGCTTATCAATCCCCAGAATCAAATGTTTCTCTGCAGTCAGAAAATTCAAAGAAAACACAATAATATACATAATCCAGACTCTCTGTGAATTTTCCATTTTTACATAACTTATTTTTCTTTACTCCTTTTAATCTATGGCTGTCTGTACTCTGTCTCTTTAAAGACTTTGTTTTATTTTTTAAAACAATTTACTTGCTTTTATAACTGTCTATACTTTATTTTTTCTTCTCTCTCTTAAGCCTAAGTACATTTATCCAACACTGTGACCCATTTAGAGGTCTTTTATGTCTGAATCTGTCCTATTGTGTATCTGTAATTCTTTGCTGTCCAGGAGCACTTCTTAAAACTTAAGCTGCACCATTCCTAGGGGAAATACAGCAGTTCCTGCTTGCCCTGCCGAGTCCAGCATGGTGGAGCTGCTCGCTGTCTCTATGGCCTCCCAGAGCCATGCACAATGCCCATCTCCAGGCACACAGCCAGTCCATGTTGCCACCAAACAAGCCGTAGCAGGTTGCTTACAAACCCTATTCAAATGCTCAGTCTCCTGAAAGAGCCAGAGGTCACGTTGGCAGCACAGCCCAGAAAGCTGGCATTTCAAAATAGTGTAGGTTTTCCCCCTATGGCTTAATCAGGACAACCTCTCTTAAAGGAGCCACAGCACACCACCAGCAAGCAAAACCCATTTGGAAAAAAAATGTGGCTAAACTTTATTTTTTAATCCAGAATTCCTTTGCAAGCCCTCTCAGGTTTTAAGTGGATTTAGTTGGCGACATGGGTGCCAATTTGTTGTAAGGAAGGAGAGAGCCGCTTGTTCATCCCAGCTACCCAGCCCCAAAATACACAGAAACTGGATTAATTAAATCACTGCTTGGCCCATTCGCTCTAGCTTCTTCATTGGCTAACTCTTACATATTAATTTAACCCATTTCTATTAACCTTTGTATTGCTAGAGGCTGTGGCTTACTGGGAAAACTTCTGGCATCTATCTCTGGAAGGGCTACATGGCTTCTCCCTGACTCTGCCCTTCTTTCTCCCAGCATTCAGTTTAGTTCTCCCTGCCAAGCTCTGTTTCCCTATAGCTCTGCTATAGGCCCAAGCAGTTTCTTTGTTAACCAATGGTAATTATAGCATACAAAGGTGAATCTCACATCAAGAATCAGCAGTCCTTCTCATGGTGCTGCTACAGAAGGAGGGAGAAAGGGGTCCTAATATCTGAGGTGTCGATTTACTGGTGGCCTGCTGCTGTGTGTTTTTCTCCAAGTCACTTAACTTCTCTGTGCTGCTTGTTATCCCATCCACACAATGGAGACTATCCTAGTTTCTTTTTTTTTTTAAAAAAAAAAAAGATTTATTTATTTATTTTTTCATCAGTGTTTTTGATCTTGGCCATTCCTACAGGTGTAAAATGGGATCTCAGAGTTGTTTTGATTTGCATTTCTCTGATGATTAAAAATGTTGAGCCTTTCCTTAAGCGTCTTTCAGCCATTTTAGATTCCTCTGTTGAGAGTTCTCTGTTTAGGTCTGTACAACATGTTTTATTGGATTGTGTGTTCTTTTGATGACCAATTTCTTGAGTTCTTTGTATATTTTGGAGATCAGCCCTCTGTCTGATGTGAGGTTGCTGAAGATCTTTTCTCATTCTGTAGGCTGTCATTTTGTCTTGTTGACCGTGTCTTTACAGAAGCTTTTCAGTTTCAGGAGGTCCCATTTATTAATTGTTTCTCTCAGTGACTGTGCTACAAGTGTTTGTACTCCATTTTTATTGGATTATTTGTTCTTTTGATGATCAATTTCTTGAGTTCTTTGTATATTTTGGAGATCAGTGCTAGGCTTCCTTGAGCTTCCTTATTCCCCAGAGAAAGATGAGTTTGCTATCCACCCATTTCGCAACCTCACGACACAAGATGCCTGTTCTGCAGCCCCACAATGCAGGACAATCAGACGTGACAGGGAGTTGTGTCAAAGCAGGAACTCCAGTTCTTACTGTGAGCATCAGCTTATATAGGTCAAGTGACGTGGTGTGATGTGGGGGTCCTTCCATCCAATGAGAGACAGCCAAGACTACCGAGTTTTTGCTGTCTCATCCTCACTCAGACTCAAGCCAGATTTTTCTCTGTCTTATAGGCCTTGAGGTACAGGCCCTAAGATAATTTTGACCCAACAATCATACCTTTGTCTGATGTGGGGTTAGTGAAGATTTTTTCCCATTCTGTAGGCTATCATTTTGTCTTGCTGACCATGTCTTTGCTTTACAGAAGCTTTTCAGTTTCAAGAGGTCCCGTTTATTAATTGTTTCTCTCAGTGTCTGTGCTGCTCGGGTTATAATTAGAAGTGGTCTCCTGTGCCAATGCATTCAAGTGTACAGAATTCCCACTTTCTCTTCTATGAGGTTCAGTGTGGCTGGCTTTATGTTGAGGTCTTTGATCCATTTGGACTTGAGTTTTGTGCATAGTGATAGATACGGATCTATTTTCATTCTTCTACATGTTGATATCCAGTTATGCCAGATGCACTTGTTAAATATGCTTTCTTTTTTCCATTTTGTATTTTTACTTCTTTGCTGGAGAGGTTGTGGGGTAAAGGGAACACTTCTTCATTGCTGGTGGTAATGCAAGCTGGTACAGCCCCTTTGGACACCAGTATGGAAATTTCTCAGAAAATTTGGAAACAACCTACCTCAAGACCCAATAATACCACTTTTGGGTATGTATCCAAAGGATGCTCAATCGTACCACAAGGACATGCGCTCAACCATGTTTATAGCGGCATTGTTTGTCATAGCCAGAACCTGGATACAACCTAAATGCCACTCAACCAAAGAATGGATAAGGAAAATGTTACACACTGGAGTACTACACAGCAGAAAAAAATAATGACATCTTGGAATTTGATGACAAATGGGTAGAGCTAGAAAACATCATAGTGAGTGAGGTAACCCAGACCCAGAAAGACAAACATCATGTGTACTCACTCCTAAGTGGCTTTTAGACATAAAGCAAAGAAAAACCAGCCCACAAATCACAATCCCAGAGAACCTAGACAATAATGAAGACCCTAAGAGAGGCATACATGGATCTCTTCTACATGGGAAGTAGAAAAAGACAAGATTTTCTGAGTAAATTGGGAGCATGAGGACCATGGGAGAATGTTGAAGGGGAGAGGCAGGGAAGGGAGCAGAGAAAAATATATAGCTCAATAAAACCAATAAAAAAGATTTATTTATTAATTTTATGTATGAAAGCTCTATTGGCATGCCTGACTTTATGTCAGAAGGGGGCAGCAGATCCCACTACAGGTGGTTAGGAATCACATTGTGATTGATGGGAATTGAGCTCAGGACCTTTGAAAGAACCGCTGAGCCACCTCTCCAGCCCGTATCCTATTTTCTTGAGCCAGTGATAGGTATGCTTTTTAACTATAGTGCCTTTCGAATTGGACTCTAATCTGTGATTAACAAAGTCAGGCCTGCCTTTTCCTTCCCTGCCATTCTTGGCCCCTTTCTTTTGCCCTAGGCAGCCACTGACTTCATCTTTATCCTTACAGATTAATCTAGGCCATCCTAGAACACCTATAAGCGGATTCACAGCCTCCTGCCTCTGGGATATCTGAGCTCTGCTCCCGGCTGCAGTGCTGTTGAGCTTCATTTGTGCTGCTCATTTCCTCCGGTGCTGACAGCGCTCTTTCTGCAGGAGACCTCACGGTGCATCTCTCCTTTTCCTGGGTGTATTTAACATATTGATCCTAGGGTTACTTTAAATCACCCCACCAGAGTCATTCGCACACAGGATGTGGGAGTCGATGCATGTTTTTTTCTGCTGGATGGTCGGGCGTTGTTCTGATGCTTGTCAAGGGGGTGGGGAGATACAATACAAAATGCCACAGATTAAAGAAAGGGTCTCATGAAGTTAGAATATAGTAAGTGAGGGACAAATTATGTGTCATTAAAACTGTAACTCTGACTATGCTAAAATATAAAAATAATGGATGCCACAGGAAATAAAGAGAACAAATTGTAACCTGCTATAACACTTTTGTTGCTGAAGTTTTGAAACTGTGTAACCCAGGTTGGTCTCAAGCCCCCACCAACAGATCCCCTGCCCCAGTGGGCGTCGCCATGTGTGGCCATAGCAACACTTTCTGAGAGTGTTCATTCTTGTGAACTAAGAGCGAGCTACAGGCAGAAACTAGAACTGGATGCATGCTGGATGCTGGGCACAGCTCCTGGGTTGGGCAAGCACTACCATATCCTTGTCTGGTTGAGATACTGGGACGTTTGTTGGACTACATATTCCCCTCAGATCTACACTGGCCTTTGTTGGGTATTTGGTTGTCTTCAGGGGGCAGGGCTCCCCAGAAACATCACACTCATTTGAAATCTAACCACCCATCTTTGGCTTTGGCTCCCAACCTGGCCCCTTGAGTGTCTTCCGAGTTCATTCCCAACTCTGACCTGGAACCTCTTCATAGCACCTTGGGGGTTTGATTTGTGACTGGGGTTGTGCCTCACTCATGCTCCATGGGATAAAAAATGGATGAGATTGCTGGCTGGGATCTATATTAATGATCTATGGCTGGTAACTTGTTAGGTGTCCTCGGAATAGCTTTGTAGCCACCTTCACCGTGAATCACTCTGGCTTTTAGGAAATTGTAGGGCAGGAGTCTGGGTCAAGGCTGGCTGTGAGAACTGCACTTACAGATGGCTTGAGAGGATGTTTTGCGTAAGGTATTTCCCAGCACTGGTAGGATTGTGTCATAGCCCCTCAGTCCCTGGCTGGACTCCTGAGCCATGCCCACATCTTGCTATAAAGGTCACTGGACCCTCCAGCCACGAATTAATTTTTCCTGGCTCTGGTGCCTCTCAGTGTTGGCATGGTGCTGCACGTGGTTCTTGTCATTTTGAGCCTCTTGCCACTGCTGGAGGCCCAGAACCCAGACCCTGCCAACATCACAGGCACAGCTATTACCAACGACACGCTGATCTGGGTGAGTGCCTGCCCAGGGCCTGGCTCTGTGCACTGTGCATAGCTACCTTTCCTCTGGCTTTTCCTTCCCAGTCTGCCATCTCCAGGCTCCTTCCCTTGCCTCTGCCTGGGACTCTGGTGGCAATCTCCTGCCTCCACACTCAGAAGCTTTCCTCTGAAGTCTCTAGAAGGGACGAGAGCAGTGGAGGCCTGATTTTTGAGTTGCCTGTGTGATCCCGGCCCCAGGCTTCAGTTCCCCGATGTGTGGCTCAGGAGCCCTTTCTTGCCTGCCTCTCATCGCTGTTGACTGCCACACACCAAGGCCTGCTGACCTGTGTGCCTTTATCTTCTCAGCTCTCCGGCAAATGGTTTTACATCGGCTCCGCTCTACGCAACCCCACCTTCAAACAGGAGGCTCAAAAGATACAGGCAGAATATTTTTACTTTACCCCCAACTTGACAGATGACACTCTCCTGCTCCAGGAGTACCAGACCACGTGAGTCCTTGCAGCAGCTCCCCACCCAGCCCTGGCCTCAGTTCCGGGACGCCTGGAGACCTGAGCAGACTCTGCCTCGGCTTGGCCTTCCCAGCCATTTTCAGGAACAGGGACAGCTGTCTTCTCTGCCTGCCCCTTGAGCCCAGTGCTGGTCACATCTCCTGATCACCTTTCACTTTTGTTCTCATTCTCTTTGCCTGTAGGGAGGACCGGTGCGTCTTTAACTCCAGCAAGCTGGAAATCCAGAGAGAGAATGGGATGCTCTCCAAATTCGGTGAGAGCCAGCACTCATGTGGAAGGATCTGCCTCTGGGGGCGGCTAGGCAAGTTTAGTGGAGAGGGTGGCCAAGGCCCTGTGAAGTAATAAGGGCGGCGGGGCTGCGTCCCCAACACCCCAGCCGCCTGCTCGGCTAGCTTATGCCCGAAATAATTACACGGAAACTGTATTCATTTAATCACTGCTTGGCCCATTCTCTTCTAGGCTAATTCTCACATATTAATTTAGCCCATTTCTAATCATCTGTGTGTAGCACCCCAAGGTGCGCTTACCGGGGAGATTCTAGCCTATGTCCATCCGGGGTCGGAGCTTCATGCTGGGAGCGGGGCATGGCATCTCTCTCAGGCGTCTGCTCCCGAGAGGACAGCAGTCGAGTCTGACCTCACTTCCTCTTCCTCCCAGCGTTCTGTTCTGTCTACTCCTCCCACCTATCCTCTAACCAATAAAATGGGCCAGGGCAGTTCCTTTATTAGCCAATGACCTTCCTCCATCAGCCCTGGATCCTATGGGCACAGAGAACAGTAGCTGGCCAGCAGAAACTGAGAGTTCATGCCGTGTGCTGGGCCCTGTTGGAAACACTTTATGTGAACTTGGCCCTTTCTGGGAGGGTATGGCAAGGATCAGAGGAGGAAACAGCACAGGGTTGTTATGTCATTCTTTCAACAATCTTTTCCATTCTCTGTGAGCTCAGAGTGGGAACCCATGGGGTGGGCAGCCGTGACTTCACCCACGCCTCCATGTCCCCAGGGACGGCCACACAAATGCTGATGGGCCTGATCAGACACTGTGTAGCAGCCCCGAGGCTTTTATCCCTTGTGCCCCTCCTCTGTGTAATGGGGGTAGATAGTCACCATCTTTCCAAGGCCCCTGGTATTCCTCATCTCTGAAGAACAGCAGAAACTGGGCACACGGCATCTCTGGGGAGACCCCGGCCTTTACCCACAGCTACTTGCTTCCCAGCCTTGGGAATGGAAACCTTGGCACCATTCCAGTGACTCGGAGCCTTTCCTCCTGCAGAGGGAGCAGAAGAACATGTTGCCCACCTGAAAGTGTTCATGAAACACAGGGGCTTCATGCTTGCCTTTGCCCTGGAAGACAAGAAGATCTGGGGACTGTCCTTATATGGTAGGCCCCTCGCCGCCCCGATCCCAAGCTCCCCAAGGTCCTGTCCTTGGTCCCCCACCCACATCCCACACCCTGCCTGACCTCCCATGTCCTGACCTGTTCTCCCTGGAGCGAATAAGCCGGATACTGCCCCAGAACTTCTTGAGGAATTCCTGAAAGCTGTCAAAAGTCTGGGCATGGATGAGTCAGAAATCATATATACGGACTGGAAAAAGGTAAATGAAGAGGCTGGATGACACCACCCTGGACGTGGTCTCGTTCTCGGTGACCTAGAGGCTGTGGTAGCCCAGGGAGGCAGGTGTCCTGCTGTTACCAACTCTGTGGCCTGCAGTGGCAGCTGAGATTCACAGACACCATAGACAGGCAACGAGGCTGGGTGCATATGGGGTTAAGAAGGAGATCCTGGAAAGACTGGAGAGGATAAGGGGCAAGAGAAAGGGCAACCGAGGGGACGGCTGGTGCCAGGGTGCCAGGCTTTTCCCTGGCCTTCATTTTCACTACAAGTTGTGGTTAATGTCTTCTGTGGTACTCCAACTCCAGCAAGACTGATGGCTTCGGGCGTAGGCAGGGGTGGCCCAGAGTCTTGATGATCTCTCTAATCCTGGCTGAGGGAAAGGCTTCCTCAGCTTTGACTTTGTCACAGGATCAGCCAGAGAGCTTGTACGTAGTTTCAGAGAATTGTAGCTCTTTGTGATTCCACCTGAGCCCTACATGCCACCCCCAATGCCTCATTCCCAGGGGGAAACAATCATAGAACTGAGGTGTTTAACAGCTCACCACCCACCTCACAACCAGGGCACGGAAAGCGGTCACCCAGCCACGTGGGGCTCAGCTGCCTCATCTCACCACAGTGGGGCAAGTAGACTCAACCTGCACCTATAGTCAGGCGTGCTCAGAAATGCTGGCTCCCATTTGGGGGACTCTGTGCTCCCACTCAATGGAGTGTACAAGCTGGGGCTCAGAGGGAAATGGCTTGAGCTACATACTCCAGAGAAGCCGTGGTAAATCTCGGTTCCAGCTGGCTGACACTACCCTGCCTTTCTGGTCAATCATTGTGATCATTTTTTTCCTTTAAAAAATGTATTTATAGACAGTTGGTGGTGGCTCACACCTTTAATCCCAGCACTTGGGAGGCAAAGGCAGAGGCAGGTGGATCTCTGTGAATTCAAGACCAGCTTGGTTACTCTGTAACTCTACAATCCTCCTGCCTCAGCACCTCCAGGTATGTGCCACCACAACTGGCTCAGTCTCTCTGCCCTCTTCCCTGCTGTCCCCTAGGATATGTGCAGTCAGCAGCAGCAGCAGCGTGAGCCAGAGAGAAAGAAGACAGAGGAGGGTCCCTAGAAAGGCCAGGCGTGGGTGGGCTCAGCTCTCTGTGTTCTGTTTTCATGCTCACCACGCCCACCCTGTGCATCTTGGTCCTTTCTCCACACCAATAAAGGCTTGGGAAAACATTCAATAACCATGTCTTTGCTTCATTCATCCATCCATCCATCCATCCATCCATTCATTCATTCATTCATTCACAAGAGGCCTGCCATGAGTAGAGTCTCAGCTAAGTCCAACAAGCCTCACCTGGGGGAATCTGAGAAGGCTTCCAGGAAGGGACATCTGAGTCACGCTACAAAGAGCTGAGAAAAACTGATGTTTTTGTAAGTGCCAATCCCAAGAGGGCACACTTGAAGACGGCAAGGCAGAAGACCACCAAGGATTCGGGGTGGGGAATCCAGGAATGTAATGCCCATCACAAGGGTGCCATCCTAATCATTGAGAAGAGGTGGGCTGGGAGACAGGTGGGCTCGTGTGGATGCTGCCATGGGCATGGTATAAAAGTCCAAGGCAAGATGGCATGGTAGGTTCAGGTGTAGGTCCGAGGGGTGGATGTCCCCAGGAGGAGTTCGCAGGATGCCCCTATGATCACTATGAGATGAGACTGGCTGACAGCTGACAACTGTCTCACTATTATGACTCGAGTTTTGGGGGCTCAGTCCACTGGGTGGCAGACACAAGACGTGAGATAATCTTCACACTCAAATGGATGTGCACTCATCCAGGAGATGTGCTGTGTGTGTCTGTGAGGACATTTCCAGAGAGGACCACTCAGCTTGAGCATGGGCAGCGCCATTTCTTGGGGAGGGGGTCTCCACCTACACTCGGCCCTCTGGTGAGGTCATCTGTGCTGCCTGGATGACCAATGTCTGCAGACTCCTGACACGGTGTCCCTCTTCACCCAGAACGGGGCAGGCAGCGTGCACAGACAGTTCTGTGGAGCCCTGCTCTGCCTGTCAGTACTGAGGGAAGAACGAGACTGCAGAACTGCACATGCATGCCCAGTGTCAAGGTGGGCACGGGCAGAGGGTGTTGCCCCATCTGGAAGGAGAATCTGGCCTGGGGCGTCTCCGGCTACTACAGCCTTCCTTTGCTGGCCTCTCTGGACTAACAGCAGGACGAAGGAATGCTTAGAGACAATAGAAGGGCAGGCAGATTGTTCCGGAAGTCTATGCAGCAGGTACCTGGGGAGATCTTAGCTGGATATCCGCTTCCCTGCCCCACCCTCATCTTTAAAAGCTGCAAACTTTCAGTAAAGACCACAGATACAAGTAGCTTTGGGAATTTCTTTTCCCTTTCTTAAGACCATTATTCATTTTCCTTCATTTGCTTTAATAACGAAAATAGATTTTTTAAATGCCTCAAATATATAAACAATCTGTGAAAAACACACATTTCAGAAATGCTAAGATCACCCTGTTATGGGATGGGGAAAGGGGTGCTGGCCTGGTTTCTCAGCCTCAGCCAGGGCCTGGCAAGTCGTGGGAAGGTCTGAGGCTGGCGTCTGTTTCTGCCCCTACATGGGTAGCCTCTGCTTTGTGGGCTCATGGGGGAAACTTCTGTAATCACAGAAGATCTGGACACGTGTCACCGGAGGCCTCTATCCCAAGACATTCCACGGGTCCCCAAGTACTCTCTGTCCACAGGCTACTTAGGATGAACATCCCTAGCCAGGGTCTCCCTGCCTCAGCGTGGCGATTACAGGCAGGGACAGGAACACTGCAGCGACCCTAGGCTTTCCTTGTCCTCGCTGGCCTTCTGAGAAGGATCCAAGCTCAAGGTAGCTCCCTAGTGTAAAGACATTCTGTCCTGTAAGATCCACGTTGTTAGCTGTAGGTGGGCATGGGCAGAAGGGTTGGCAAGGAGTATCAGAGTCTCTGCCTGGACAGAGGTAGCCTGATCACTACACCTGTTAGAGCTGGTCCCTGGATTTCCATCCACTACCGCCCAGGCTAATGTCTCTCCATTTTAAACATGCTACGAGGAGCAGGCTGGTGGCGCTCCTGGGGAGGGAACATGGCGTTTTCCAGCCATCAATGGCTCCAGGAGACTTGACTAGGGGACAACAGGGGTTGCGAGCCTCCTCGGTTGGAGTCTCCAGGGAGTCAGAAGAGGCAAGAGCCTCGCAGGCTACTGGCGTGGCGCAGGTCCGCAGACAGTGACCGGCTCAGCTGCTGGGTGGTGGCGCGCACATTCTCAGCAGCCTGCGCGGCCTCGTTGAGTGCTGCCTGAAGCTCTTCCAGGTCATTCAGACCCAGGTGGACAGAGTGCCAGGTTCCCCGACGTCCCTGGACAGGCGGGGAGGCTGACGGGGCTGAGGTAGGTGCTGGGGTTGCATAGTATCTGGGGAGAAGGAAGAAGAGCACGATTTAGCGAGAGCCTGCCAACGGCACGAGCTGTGGGTTGGAGTCCCAGCTGCACATCTACTCGACAACCTGATCTGTTTTTGCCCTCTGCATGGTCTATGTGGACAGGTAAAGGAGAATACGTGTGGCGGGTGCAAGGCACAATTAGCTCACATCATCCTCTCACTTAGCAGTCACTTACAGACCACCCACCATGTGCTGCCCGTGTGTGGGGCTGCTACGGAATTCTACGAAAATTCGAGAACATTCTCTAATCTGCAGGTTGCAGGTACTGATGGAGAATGCTAAGCTGAATGACTGTGCTTCCTGGAGGTATCAGAATAGTTAACATTCCCTCTTTTTGAAGAATCTGGGCTCCCTATGGCTCCCATACTTTGAGCTCACGTGAGGACCAGCTTGGCCTGAGAGTTCCAAGCTTTCCCTGGCAGAAGCCAAAGGCGCTTGGACTACGTAGCCTCTGATGCGGGGCTGCGTACAGCCAGCAGGTGGCAGCACAGCACCGTTGCAATTTCTAGTTCAGCCATGGCGCATGCTCAGTCCTGCAGTCTGGCCCAAGAAGAACCCGGGGCGAGGTTTGCTCTAACTATACCTAACGCACTAGGCTACTTGCTACTGGCCGCCCTTGATGCAGCACCTGCTTCCCAAACGTTCCTTCTTGAGGTCATCTTTATCATCTCAGAAGAACAAACAGGCCAGAGAGCTACAGTGATCTGTCCAGCTGCTGGCTACTGCATCCCCTCTTCTTGTGGCCACCATAGCCTCATGAGCTCTTCCCTAGGCCCAGACTGTAAAGATTTGCCTTGAGAACAGAAGAGAACCCTGAGGCTCCCAGAGGGCTGATAAATGCCATCAATCTCCCTGCCCAGGGACAGGAAACCTGGGCAGGTGTCCGCACCATGCGAGTCAGGGCCTGGACATGAAGCAAGGCTGCCTGCTGGTGCCTTGGACTTCTGTCCCTCCTGGCATCAGCTGCCACAGAGGCAGCTACCGTCTGTTACCCACAGAGGCAGACTGTCTATGAATAACATTGCATCCCAACTAACTCACTTTACGGTGGTGGAAACGGGCTGAGAAGTAGCTGGTGACAGTTAAGCCTAGAAGGGGGTCTGGAGAGACGGCCGTGGAATCATTCAGTCCGCCATGGCATTTCCCAGAGTACAGAAAACACTCCACAGACATCCAGTGGAGTCTCGAGACATGCAGCCTTCATCCTCACACAACAGTACCTGGCAGAGTCAGCCCCCATTGAACAGATGGAGAAACTGAGACTGACAGAAACAGTCCTCTGCCTTGGCCACAGCAGTGACGAGAGGGGAGGGTGGAGGGTATTCCTGCACAGTCATGCCTGACCCTGAAATGTTACCAGGCCACCATGTCCACTCTTCCCTTCTTGGTAGCTGGCGTTCAATATCAAAACCATCTAGTTGGTGGTCCTTGCATGTCACAGGCATGGACAGGGCAATGTGGAGCAGCGGCCACAACCAAAAGGAGCCCAGCTAAATGCAGGGGATCCTGAATGTTACCCCAGAATAGAAAATGGCTTCAGACATAAATCAAAGATGCTGGAGGAAAGCCGCAGGTGTGGACTAATACTGAAGCGCTGGAGCTGATTCTCTGCAGTAACATGCATGTGTGAAGGGACAGCAGAGCAGGCTATAGGAGGCACAGTGCGTGGGAGAAGTGGGGAAAGTCCACTCAAATCTTCTGTCTCCTAAATCTAAAAACCATCCCACCAATGAAAATCAGTTGAAAAAAAAGGGAGGAAAAAACCAAGAAATTATTCTTACCACTGCATAAAAATACAGGTTTAGGTTTACTCACTACATCACTAGGATTCTCGGTACCCAGAAAGTTGTGACTCCATGAGACAGGGCCCTCTTGCCAGTCTGTTTTACTGCTGGGTCCCCAGCACCCTGTAGTCTGCCCCTAAGGGTGTGTTCAGCGAGTACAAGAATTTCAGGCTTGTGCCCCAATTTACAAGAAGGCGCCACCATGACTCCCATCCCTCTGACGTGATGTAAGACTGGCTTTGCAGATACTCGGGCAGGTTAAGGCAGCTGGAAGGGAAGACTCACACAGTGGGTGGTGGGTACGGCATGATGGGGGCTGAGGAGATGTAGGCCAAGGCTGGTGGGGTTGGGGCTGAGGGTGCAGCAGCCAGGTACCAGAGTCCAGGGAGCGGTTGTACAGGTGAGCCCAACTGCCTGTTCTTCAGCTTGGGACTGGGGGTGGAAGATGCAGGTTTCCTTGGGGTGTCCTTCTCTGTAAGGGAAGGAAGGACACATAGAAATTGTGTGAGGTTATGGGCAGATGCAGCCGAGCCTATAGCGTTTCCGAGGTCTGACCAAGCCCAGGATTGAAGGAAGATACTGAGCGTGCATTCCTACTAGAGCGGGCTGAGCTGGGGCCATCTACTTCTGCAGTGGACCTGACTGTACCACACAGAGGACAGGGGAGGGCATCAGCCGTGGATGGTTCCGGTGGCTCTCTAGAGACAGCACTGCCTGGAAGGAAAGAGAGATATCTGGAAAAGCTGGATGTCAGAGGACAACACAAACAGCGACCATGATGGTGTAAGTAGGCACCGGCCACATGCTAGCAGCTCATGGTGCTAGCTACTCTGCCCATCTCCCTCCACAGTCGGGGGAAGCTGAGCTGCCACAAGACAGTACTTTGCAAACGAAGTGGCCATCTAATCTCATGCCCAGGCCCTCTAGATGATAAGCCCATTTTGCCTTTGAGATAGTCTTGATCCTCTCAGAGCAAT